GGGGGGGGGGAAGAGGAAGGATGAAGGGGCATAGAGAGTATCGAACAGAGCTCTCTGCAGCAAAACGGCGGCTGTTATCTGAACTCCTGAAGGGGAGGGGGAGCCGAGAAACCCCACCCCCCTCGGTTTGGATCCACCAATGGCCGGTAATACCTCTTTCGAGATTTGTTTAGAAGCAAGCTGATGGCGTGTCACAAAGTAATGTCAAAATAAACGTAATCTGAAACTGAGCCAACCTTTTCCTCAAGTGTAAGCAAAGTTCGTGCAGCTTTTCGTATCTTGGCAAGTGTATACTTCACACGCCATACTTCGCGTTTATTACGTAAACCAAATTCACCAATTAATTTCAATTCCTGCAAGTATAAATAATTGGCCAACGCACGGGCTGCCCGTGCGAAGATGCGTTTTTTTGCAAAGTTCCCCGCACTTTTTGCTGCTACCGACACCGGCTTTTTCGGCAAATGCTTCTAGATAAACAAATTAAGACTGGCCGCCAGAACTGTCAGAAAATATCCCCTTCAAATTTCAGCTTTCTAGCGTCCCAGAACCCCGAGTTATGAATTTACGCGGGAAAAATCCCATACGCGGTTACTACGCTTACCCGGGGGTTGGGTTTGAGCTCATTAGCACCTACTTGTACGAGGAACACTTCCTTAAAGTTTCAGCTCTCTAGCTTTTCTGGTTCGCGAGTTAGCAGCTTACTCGTAAAAAATTTTGGCGAGCTCTTACTTGGGTACCACGCGGGAAAGACCGCTCATTTTGGGGATGGGGACCCGTACGTGCATGTAGATTAAGCCCCCAAAATTTCAGCCCTGTAGGTTTTGTGGGACTTCAGATGAAAAATCGGTACAGACGCGCAGCACACACATAGACACACACGGACAAGTTCTCGTCAATATGCGTTTTCCGCACTGCATTGCTGCAAAAAACGCATAACAAACTAGTAAACAACACAGTGATCCTCTGAATATTAGCTTGTTTGTTGGGGTAAATCACCGTTTTTTTTAAGTCAATTTCTCATTTAAATTACATCCTGGATCAGCTTTAATCCAGGCCATAGTTCCCCAGGGACCAACTTTTTCAAGCTGCTTTGATCAACATCACATGATCCTTTGCCCAGCCTACTGGCGTATAGGCTGCACTGTTAGTCATCGGCCAATCCTGGATGGAATAATAGACCAAAAGGAATGTACGCAGGCCATGTGTATGGTATTATTTTATGGTGCAAGTTGCCTTTATCTTTTAGATGTAGTGGGGTGATATTTTTCGATGCAGTCTGCCTGTGTTTTATCCCTTAGCTATAAACACAGACCGGACTATGCATGCGGATAGGAGTGGGAATCGTCAGTACAGCCTCCTGGGCGACATCGGCTATAGTAAGCGAAAGCACTGAATATGCTGGTCACAGCCAAAACAGAACTGGCAGTAGTAGACGCTTACTTATATGCATTTTCCACGATAAAATCTTTTTTCCCGCTATCGGATTGGTGGAGGGAAGGGGAGAAAAGACGAGTGGAGAGGGCGGGGGGTTGGGCTATTTTTGAGGTGCACGGGCGACGGGGGTGGGGAAGAGAGTCCCCTCTCACCCAAGAACCTTGAAACAACCCTGCTTACAGTTACTTCCGACTTTAGTTTTAGCTTTAGACCTGAACCTTTGCAGAACTGGTGCTTGCCCCGCTGGAGAGAGGGGGCCAAAAGATCCATGCCTCCCCTCTCCTCTCCCCTCCCGCTCCCCTCCCGGTGCGTCTCTGTGATGGCTGAATGACTCAGACGAATCACCCGCTCAACAGGTTTTCCAGTAAAAGGATTTGACGTAACGTTTTGCCAAAAACTAAGATGATTTCGTTCCAAGCCTGTACAGTGCGTAAGGCGTTTATTAATGCCAAAAGTCAAGTACTCCTCCTTATTCACGTTAAATGAGATGTGAAAGAACACGGGGATTGCTCCGAGGGACAGCAAAATTTGTCAGGCAAACTTGCCCATCCACT